GTGATGAGTTCTACTTTTTTCTCTTTCTTCCTTTCATTATTATTGCCATGATTTTTAGATTCCACATGTAAGTGAGATCACGCGGTATTTGCCTTTCTTATGTCTGGCTTATTTTGTTAACCGCAATGTCCTTCAGTAGGGGGCAGTCTGCTCTTCAGAGTAGTGCATCCTCACAAAGTAAGCATGAAGTTGCAAGTGACAGGATTCTGTTTTGAAAGGCTGAATAATATTCCACTGTGTGTGTGTGTGTGTGTGTGTGTTCTGAAAATCATTAACTCCTCATACTTAGGAATACACACACACACACTCATCTTTTTCCATTCATTCATCAATGAACACAGGGGTTTTTTGGTGCCTGGACTGTTGTGGCTCTTGCTTGACTCTGCCAGTTTTGATCTCCCTCCCCCTAAAAGGCTTTATTGTACTCTAAAAATGCCTTAGGAAAAATGATTCTGAAGCAATGGATTTCTTCCCCATGTTTTTCAGTAGATTCAAAGATGGAAAGCTTTGATGTTTGCTCTTCTTTAAGCAGCCCCATCGGTTTTCAGCAGAGATTCTTCAGTTCATTTAACTGCTCCGAATTTCCATCAGCCTGCAGAGAATGGGTTTGGGCTGTCCATCCTGGTGGTGGCGGAGGTGCTGCTACTGCTGTGGCTATTGTTGTGATTGTTTTTGTTGTTGAATTTATATCATACGTGAATTGTACCAAAACAATAAAATGAACTTGAGCTCTGAACTGTGAAAGTGCTTTTTTTGTTTGTTTTCTCCAGTTCTTGTTCGTTTGCTTCACAAACTTTAGGAGTGGATTCGCGCAAGAACTTCCCAAATCGGATTTCATATTTATTTCTATTTCTAAATCAAAGAGCACAAGGATCTAATTTAAACCAATGAGAATAAACATGACAAGAAGACTTTATCGGAGTGTGGTAAAATAGTTTCCCCCCACACTATATCGTTTCAACCCTGACCCTGATGTCCAGATTTGAACGTTAGAAAATAACGCAGTAAAATCAAGGGCCAGAGTTAAGCGGCTATAGTCAAACCAGCATTTTCCTTGGCGACTTTTGCGAGATCATGCAGAGACGTTCCAGAGTTAGCGGGACCAAATTCAGCCGTTCCACGCACAAGATCTAAACTTCCTCTGGTTAACTCCGTGGTCCGGGTTGGGCTCAGAGGAAAAGGGTTTCGCAGTGCACCAGGAGATGGAAAGAACCCTGAGGGAAATCCTTACTTTCCAGCAGCAT